AATAATTTATTAATATAGTAAAATGTATCGAAAATGAACCAACCTAGTATCATAATTAGTACTGATGAGGAATTGGCTCTAGTTTGCCGATTATTATTCTATCAACCAACAGGGTATCATTCCAACCCTGAAAATTATAGAAAGATCTTAAAGCAGAGGGGTATCAGTTTCCATATAAAAAGATATGTGAGTGGCTTACAAATCAGAATGAATAGCAAAAATATGCTCCATCACCAAAAGATACTTCACAGGTTAGTTATGGAAAAATTTCACGTCCAAACTGCGTACATATGTGTGATTTGTTACGCCTCACAAATGATACTGTCAATAAAAAGACATACAAATGGGTACTTACTGTTATAGATGTCGCATTCCGTTTTAAATGGGCTGTTCCATTGACATCGAAAAACAGTTCAGAAGTTACCAAAGCATTTAAGAAAATATATGATAATTCAAATGTCCCCCTTACCTGGCCTGATTTATTACAATGCAATGGCGGGCGTGAATGGATGGGTGAGACTTCAAAAATAATAGAGGCACATAATGTTATAATCCGAGTTATAGGCCCATATTCTCATCGAGGTCTTGCAATCGTAGACAGATTTTGTAAGACATTAGCAGAGATGCTATACAAAGTTCAATCCGCCGTTGAAACTATATCTGGGAATCCTAAATTAATAAGGGCATGGGTTAAACATTTACCAAATGTTCTTGAATATCTGAATAATTATCCAACACGACTTATACGAGCGCCAGGATCAAAGAAATGGGGATTAGCGCCTATGAAGGCAATTAGATTGAATAGGGTAGAGTCTAGACCATCTACAAAATACAAATGTTCAGTTGGTAAAGACGAAGAAAAATTAAAAAAGGGAGATACCGTTCATTTCTTACTCGCTAATGCAGAATAGAAAGGAGGTATAGAAAATCAAAGACGTGCAACAGATGAAATTTGGAGCCCTTCTTTACATAAAATCTACAAAATTGTGATAACGAAAAACGAACCAATTTTATATTATTTAGATGGGGAATTCGCACCAACACGTGGGTTTGTACGTAAAGAATTAATGCTAATTGATCTCAAAAAACTTCAGTATCCGCCACAAAGTATATTGAAGGAAACACTCGTTCCAGGTCTGTTAATTTCGTTCGTATTATTAATAAAATGGCTAAAGCTGTTGCATATACTGTGAAGCGTGACAGAAAATATCTTGGTAAAATTGGCCAAATAAATGATTTCGATGTATATCTCTGGTCCTGTGAAAATGAAAAGCATCAGTGGGAATATCTATATTCATTAATAGCTACGAAATTTGAATGATGTCCACTTTGCTTCCATCACACCGATGAGCGTCGCTGTAGATATATTTTCGAAGATCTGTTAGATAAGAAATTTCTATCTTGTAAACCATCATTTTTGAATGGGATGCAATTAGATGGGTATAATAAAGAGCTAAAATTGGCATACGAATTCCAGGAAGTTCAACACTACCATCGCAATAGTTTATATCACAAAAATCAAGATGATCTAGATAATCAAAGAAAACGCGACCAAA